TGACAGTAGCATCTCAAGTGACTGCATAGGATTGACTGGAAAACCAGTCGAGAATCAGAAACTGACTTGAGAAGGAGCTGACTAGGGCCTGCTGCCCACAGAGTCAGAGCCAGGCGCCTTTGCTCAAGCTTGCTGGGAGACTGAGGAAACACACCATGATTGGCAGGACTTAGGAACCTTTTCATAGACTGACTGAAGGAAGAGACAGAATGACTGATGGAAAAGACAGAATGGAAGCTTCAGATAAAGGGAGCAGCAGAACACAGAGCGGTAACAACACAGCCACCTTGAACAGCTGTCCGCTTGGGGTCAGAACCAGGAAGGGCAGCAACAGGTCTGTATGACGGAAACTCAGATCCAGCCTTCGACATGTCACTGCCCCCACTACTTACCAGGTGACAGGCAGGGTCCTTCCCACCCTCCTAACCTACTATCCCTAATCTCACTCCACCAAGACCCACCTCTGCCTCCGGCCTCTTGCCCACGCTGCCCTGTTTCCAAAGCCGGAGGCTCTCAGAGCATTCCGCCTAGAGCCTGATTTCTGTGCCACTCCTGGCCTGCATTTTTCAACAACAGCAAAACTTTTTTTTTAAAGCCAAGGCATGCCAAAATGGACAATTTAAAGTAAGAAAGACGTTCTGAGTAGTGTTGAGCTGAACACTGAGCTCTGGAGGGGGGATAAGAGTTGTTTAGTGATGGGAACATATGAAGCTCTTTTAGAGAGGAAGTAGCACTTTGACCTGAGCCTCAGAAGAACTGATAAAGTCTTGACAGGTAGGGATAGTTATGCTGTGCTCTGAGAAGAAGAAATCCAGTAAGTAGTACGATAATAAAATCACACCACGCTTATCTGGGAAAGGTGACTTGACCTGTATGAACAGAGTGGGAAGTTCAGATGGAAACGCAGTGAGAGCACTGGAAGAGTCAGTCCATTAAGCCCACAGCCTGGAGCACATTGGCCACAAACCTACTGAACCCTGAAGCAGTAATAGCAGCCAGCCAACAATCCCAACTCCATATGTATCATGTTCGTCCCCCTCACAGCGACCTTTGGGGCAGTTGAACCACCATTGATTGGCTCCATGGGACAAAGATGGACCCTTTCCTCCCATTAAGATTTACAGCCTCTTAAAAAAAAAAAAAGAGTCCATGGCACAGAGGTGTAAAAGGTTTAAATACTGACCTAAATGAAGATAAAATGTGACAAGGTAAGAGGAGATCTAAAATAGTATTTAATTTTTTGTTAAGAAAAACAATAAAATTCAAGTAAAAAATATTTAAAGCCTCAGAAACTCAGTGCAGGGTCACTATATGAGTCATCTCAGTAGCAGTTGAATTGTGCCGAATCTTTACAGAAGCAAGCTGTCACATCCTCCTGAGAGCAACTGGTGTGATCGAACCACTCACCTTTGCAATTAGGAGTCTCGTGCTCCAACACTCCACCAACAGGGTCCAATGATGAACAGCTTGTATGACAATATTTCTCAGGCCCTTTGCCCCAGAATCACCTTTGGGAGTTAAAATGTAGATGCCTGGGTCATTTCTGACTGCAATCTGATCTGCTACTTAGCCGTCTCCGCAGGTGATTCTCAGGTACATTCTTACTGGAGAGCAGTTGTTACTGGGAACCCATCCAGAAGGTGGACAGAGACTGGCAGGCATGAGGCGCACTGCAGGTCTGAGCCCTGGGTAGTAGAGGGAGCTGTCAGTGGTGGAGATGTGTGAATGGAGGAGCCTGCAGAGTGTGGACCTGGTGGGGTTTCATGATAAAAAGAAAGAGCATCAAGTGTCACCAGCAGGACTTGGGGCTTCCAAGACCTGAGTGCTATCAGGAGAAATATGCAGAGTACAGGCAATTCCCTGAGCACCTACAGGATGACTCTGAACCTTGAACTTCTCCAAAACTCTATCTTTTGCCAACCTAACAGAAATTTCCACTCCAGAATATTCTAGACAAACAAGAAAAGCCTTCTCTTAATGCTATTGAGTAACATTACTGAGTACCTGATGCAGAATATATGCAAATTAAGTGGGCTGGGCAAATAGTTCAAGTGCTTTCCTGCTAATCAAAAGACTGGAGGTTCGAGTTTACCCAGAAGAACTGGCAATCGACTTTTGCATAAAAGCAGCCACGGAGAACCGGAGCCCTGAGTTCTGCTGTGACACACACAGGGCCACCCTGAGTCAACGCTGGTCTCTGGACGGCTCCTGGTTCTTTACTGATTAAATAACCAGTGTGTTTACTGAGCACCTGGAGAAGGGAGCCTCCCTCCTCCAATCAGCACGTACCTTCAGCCCCTGCTGCACAGAAAGGATGGAGCCTCTGCTTTGATGCCTGTAACAGCATTCATGATATCATGCTAAATAATAATGTGAAAGTGAAGGGACAGTGTAATTGTTGGTCTGCATTAAGGAAACAAAGGCAGGATGTAAAGTGTATGACACACTGAGTCATTGCTGTGGAAGTGACTCATACCTGATCTTCTCAGCAGGTTTCCAAGAGGCTGTTTGTATATATCATCTGGGAAGAGATTGCCTATCTTTCTCCCACTGAGTGTCTGGTGGATTCAGACCACCAGAAAAGCCTGACAGGTCAGCCAATAAAACACCTCCCTACACATTATGCCACCAGAGCCCCTTTTAAAAGTATAGAACATGGAACTATGCCAACCAGAATCCTGTCTTTCTAGATCCCCACTGGATCCTTCTCATAGTTCAGTGGTGATCAAATTTAATGAATGGGAAATGGTTGTATGAAACATAATGAGAATGAAGAATGGTGTGAAACAAAATGTATATGAACTTAGTAAGCAAACCAATAGAAAATATTTTTAAAAGTTTAGAACAACTAGAAGAAAATACAAAAAGTGTGAATAACATGATTATATCTGTATAGTATTGCCTGCTTTTAAATGCTTACAACTGTACATATTCTTTCAGTAGGTTCCACAAAGCAAAACCATTTAAAGATTATATGTAAATCAAAACATTCAAAACAACTATGAGATATCATCTCATCCCAGTAAAAATAGCAAAATTTAACAGAACAGCAAACAACAAATGCTGGCGAGGTTGTGGAGAAACTGGAACCCTTTCTATAATTATATTTTATTAATTTTCATAAACATTTACAGAGATTTTGGGCTTCCACTCATTCATTGTTGCACTATTCTCTCTACCCTCCTCCCAGTTTGTTCTTGTCCAAATGCCACAGTGCTTGTCAAAGCCAGTTCTGATTAATCTTCTTTGTCAGTGTATCCTTTGCCATTCCCTATCACTCCTCCCTGAGAGAGACTTCACCCTGAGTCATAAGGAAAAGGGGACGGCGTATTCTCTTAGCTACTTCCTGCTGAAAAGGGACGCTGTGGGTTTCAGGGTGAAGATCTTCTCTCACTACTCTAAAGGGCCCCTTTGGCAGTAGGAAACACATAGACTATTATGGGCATTGATTTTGGAATTCAGATGCACTCTTATTGATTGTGCTTGGCTGTACATGTACATATCCTTCAAGATGTATCATGGGGGTGTTGCAACCTAGAAGACACAAATTTGACTAACAAGTTATAAGTACATGAGTCCAAAAATTATGGAAAAGTAAAAGAAAAGATTCTTTCATTGTTTTACAAACCCTCCCCCAGGTCCCCTCCACCATGCAGCCCTCGCTCTAGTCTCCTGTGATGACAGAAATACCCAGTTACATCTCTCTTTTAAACGGTTCTCTCCCTCCTCTGTTTCAGTGCAGTATACATTATTGAACCCATCTTACTCAGTCTCTCCCCAACCCCAAGGACAGTCCCATTCTACAACAGTGGCATCATGTAATATTTGTCCTTTTGTGACTGGGATATTTCACTCAGCATAATGTTCTCCAGAGTCAACCATTTTGAATAATATTGCATGAGTTCCTTGTTTTTTAAATGCAGCATAGTATTCCATTGTGCGAATATACCACAGCTTCTCTAGCCATTCGTTTGTTGATGGGCACTTAGGTTGTTTCCAACTCCTTGCTATTGTGAACAAAGCTGCAATAAACATGGGTGTGCATATATCTGCTTGGATGTCAGCTACGGTCTCTTCAGGGTATATTCCCAGTAGTGGAATTGCTGGGTCAAATGGTATCTCTATTTGCAACTTTTTGAGAAAGCGCCATACTGCTTTCCACAGGGGTTGCACCATTTTACACTCAGAAACTGGAACCCTTATGCACTGCTGGTAGGAGTGTAAAATGGTGCAACCATTATGGAAAGTAGTATGGTGCTGTCTCAAAAATTTACAAATAGGAATACCATTTGACCCAGCAATTCCACTACTGGGAATATACCCCAAAGAGACCATAACTGACACCCAAGCAGATATATGCACACCCATGTTTATTGCGACCTTGTTCACAATAGCAAAGAGTTGGAAACAACCTAAGTGCCCATCAACAAATGAATGGATAGAGAATCTGTTGTATATTCCCACAATGGAATACTATGCAGCATTGAAAAACAAGGAACTCATGAAACACTATGCAAAATGGGTGACCCTGGAGGACATTATGCTGAGTGAACTATCTCATTCACAAAAGGACAAATACGGCATAGTGCCATTGTTGTAAAGCAGGACTGACATTGGAGTTGGGGGGCAAACTAAAAGGGGATAAATAATATATACTGCATTGAAACAGATGAGGGAGAGAACTATTTAGGAGGAATATATGAGTAGGTATTATTGTCATGACAAGAGTCCAGAATGAAACTTGTATAGTGGAGTGATGGGGGAGGGGGTTGTATAACAAGGAAAGATTTTTTTTTTTTACTTTTGAAAGAGAAAAGCAAATTTAGGGGGGAGGGGTACAGGGAGAAAAGTGTTCAACATGAATGAATGGAAATTTAAAAAATAATAGGAAGATAACTAGTTAAAAAACAAACCACGAACAAACAAAAAACCCAACCCTCCACGTGTATATTAGTGAGCACTCACTGGCTTACCCTTTTCTCTTCTCGTTCCTTTTGCAGGACGTGGTAGGTGGCGTCCTGATCACCGCGCTCCTCATTGCCCTCACCTATCCGGCCTGGACCCTCCTGGACCACCTGGACTCGGCCAGCCCTCTCTTCCCTGTGTGTGTCCTCGTTGTGCCATTTTTCTTGTGTTACAATTACCCCGTGTCCGACTACTACAGCCCAACCCGAGCAGACACCACCACCGTTCTTGCTGCCGGGGCCGGAGTGAACATAGGGTTCTGGATCAACCACTTCTTCCAACTCATGTCCAAGCCCACAGACATAGTCCCCGCTGTTCAGAACATTCCTCCGCTCACCCTGGAGGTGCTGGTTCTGAGTGTGACCAAGTTTCTTGTGGGAATCGTGTTGCTCCTCCTGGTTCGCCAACTGGTCCAAAATCTCTCGCTGCAAGTGCTGTACTCGTGGTTCAGAGTGGTCATCAGGAACAAGGAGGCCCGGCGGAGACTGGAGATTGAGGTGCCGTACAAGTTTGTCACCTACACATCCGTCGGCATCTGTGCCACAACATTCGTCCCGATGCTACACAGGTTCTTGGGATTACTGTGAGCTGCAAGCAGTTGGGAAATAGCCCACTGGACATGAGAGAAAAGAAAGTTGTCAGGTGGGCAAATTGCAACAACCCCTTTTACCTTAAGGAGGAAGAAAAAATCCTTAACTTACATGTCTGTGTTGCTGATATCTGAGTTAGATTATGCAAAACGGGAGGAAATTGTCTCATAGGGAACCATTAGTCTGTACGGGTTATGCTGCAAGTGAATCCAAGCTAAAAGCCACAGTGGAGCCCTTTAAGGGTTCCTCCGACCTCCTATTATACAGATGTTAGGTGTCGTCATGAGTTGCCTATTGTAGGAAGAGCCACAGACCCACATGCTCCTGCAAGAGCCGGTGAAGACAAGAATCATCTCAGAGGCTGGAGGTAGGGAGGCTCCTTTTCATTCATGGTCTTGCCCAAACCAGAATATGGGTCTGGCAGAAAAGGTGACACCACATAAAACTACATCCCTCACACAGGGTGACTCCATCATCGTGATTTCACTGGATAGCAGCTGGCCGGTGGCCTGTGCCGTGAGTAAGCCTGTCTGTAAACAGTGGTGCTGAAGGCGATGGCAGAGCTGAGATGGTGGGGAGATCCTGTTTTCCCGTGAGCCCTTGCTGCCTTGGAGGTGGTCGCTCTGAAATAGTCACCTGCAGGTCCTCCTCTGTACATCCCCAGCCTTCCAGGCACCAGCACCAGACTTCTCATCCAGGAAATTTAACTGGCTATTCCTGCCCATCAGGCAAGTTAGGTGTCGCCTTCATAAAAAGTGGAGAACCTGTGGAAACGTCTGGGCTTCACTGAGACTCCAGCTCTCTCCAACCAGAATTACTTGGGACAGTCCTCTGCTAATCTTCAGCTTCCTTAAACCTTGAAAGGTGCCATCACTAACTGATCTGCAAAGGCAGGTCAGTAGAAAAATGCCTAGTCCGTTCTGGGGCCTGATGAGGCGAGGAGGGCTCCCCTTGACATTGACCATGACATAGTCAACCTGACTATTGTTGCAGACAGAGTGACCTTAACATTTACCAGGTCATGCCGACCTTGAACGTGATGCAGTCATGTTGACACAATCAAGCTCTTTCCCACTCACCTTCTGTAACCTGTTTCTCATTTCTGAAGAACATCAGAGGCTCCTTCGTGTGTGTCCACCTCCTGACTCGTGGGACACTTCAGGAAAATGAATGCAAGGACTCTACCCAACATGACACAGCAGCCTGCAGACGTAGTGATCTGAGTGGACTTACGGAGGCCACTGTTATGTGGACACCAGGGGTTCTCAACCAAGACTCCTCTTTGGTCCTTAACAAGAAGAAATAACTTTGAATAATTATTTTAAAAGGCTAGTTTTAAAAAGGTGTGAGCCCCTGAAGCCGTGTTTTAGAGATAGTCTTACGGTCTCTGCATGCAGACCCCAGGGAACACTCCTTTAACATTAAACCCCTCCTTCCACCCTGTCCGGTGCTGCCACTGAAAACCGCACAGCACTGAACCCTAATTTGATCCATGACCTCATTTTGGGGATGATCTTTGCCATTGGACATCTTCTTGAGAAGGTCATTGTTAGTGAGACATGGCATTTTTCTCTGCATCGTTTTTAATAATTAGAAGGTGGGAACCAGAATGACTTAGCGTTTTCACACCAAAGTCGTATCACAGTCTGCAAAAGGAGCCCCATATCTGATCAACTGAGAGGGGAGAGGGGGAAGATAAAAGAGGGAGGGGGGGATGACTAAGGAAAGGTGGACGCACAGATACACTGCAGAGAGTTGACAGGCAGAGATGGGAGGGAGCGGAGATCAGTGAGTGCGGGGAGAAGGGAGACGGAAAGGGTTCAGTGAGGCTTCCACAGGACGTTGTGTGATGGAGATTACTGTGACACATTCAGGGCGGTCACCTTTCATTCCTGAGCCTTCCCATGCTGCTGCCAAACCAGAGACGACAACACAGGGTGAAACACAAGATTGTTATAGTCGATTTGACTAATGCCAACTGGGAAAAGCAATCAACTTTAATAACTGTCGGAATTTTCACAGCCATGGATGTTGGTGATACATACACATACGTGTGCAAATATACGTATGTACCTAAGGTGTACCTGATCCAGGCCAGGATCTTCTCTGTTGTTTGCTATGCATCTGAACGCTGGACAGAGACTAAAGATGATAGAAGAAAAATTGATGCCTTTGAGTTGTGGGGCTGGAGGAAAGTTTGAGACATACCATGGACCGCCCAGAAAACAAATAGGTCTGTCCTGGAGAGGCTGCTCCTTGGAGGCAAGGATTTTGAAGATCCGTCTGACATACTTTGGGCATGTTGTCAGGAGGGACCCATCTTTGGAGAAGGACATCATGCTCAGAAGGGTAGAGCGTCTGCTGAAAACTCTAGATGAGATGGACTGTTACAGTGATTGTGGCAATACGGTCAGGTGTGTCAGCGAAGGTCAGGGTGGCTCAGGACAGGGCAAGCTTCAGAGCCATTGTCCATAGGGTCGCTATGCCCCATGGTCGACTCGACAGCACATAACAACGTGTGTGTACATTTGTGTATGTGTTATACATGTATCCATATATATATGTATATATAAACATATGAAATAAAACACCACCGCATATGTACTTAAGGCGTTCTGGAAACCTAGTAGCAAACCTTTGCCAACCCCAAGGCCCATGATTTGAAACTACCAGCTGCTCTGGGAGAGGAAACTGATCGACCTCCTCCTGTGATTTATAGTCTCTGGAAACCCACTGGAAAGTCAAGCTATGAGCTGATTCAACAGAACACAGCAATAAGATAAACACATGCAATTGAAAAAAAAAGATATATATCTTTGAATAAGTTTCCGTTTAAGCAACTAGATTGCTGTTTTTATGGCCTGAGTTGAGGATTAATGTCTCACATTAAATGTCACACATTAAAGAATGATCCCAAGTCGTGATGGTCCCTTTTTAAAAATCTCCTGTTGCACCAGCTAGAAAGTAAACGGTCTCTGGTGGTGAGTCTGAGTTAAGGCTTGGTCTGTAAGCATTCTGGCTCTGTGACCCTCTCCCAGGCCTTGCTACCTTTCAGGACATAGGAGTTTCTCTCTGGGGAAAGACTGCCCCCTGCTGATGTGGTCTCAGTCGTGGCCCACAGCCTCAGTAGGGCTGGTCGGCGAGCTCTACCCCCCCTGTAAGGCTATGCCGTGCCCTGTGGTCCTGTCAGCCCTGCTTTTGGAAACTGTGGCTCCAGAGCCCCGCAGATTACCACATTTCCCCACCATTAACACACTTGCGTGGGTTTTTTAACTATGTATCACTCCTTTCCCTACTGTGACATTTTTCAAAAAAAACCTGTTACTGACTTCCGTTCACAGTACAAAGAACAATTGAGACTACCTAACCTCTGGCATAAGCAGACCTCACATAATCTACCAGTTTCACCTGAGACAGCTGGCTAAGGTGCTTGCATTCACCTGTTGCGTCAATGTGCTGGAATTATCAAATTAATCAAACCAAATGCATCTTCAGTTCTCTGTCTTCTAATCACTAGGGGACCGCCAAACTCCATCCGGGTCTTCTTGGCTGTGGCTAAGACCTTTGAGAGGATTAAAAGTAATCATTTCACACACGTGAGCAGGAAATTAGAGAAATGAACAGAACAAAATAGTTGATCTGTAATTGTGTGCCCTGCCTCCCAAATTCATGAGAATGGGCGTGCTGTGCTGGAATCGGCTTCCATCACCATCGCTGTATTTGTGTGTGGACAAACAATGCAGTAGAACCTCTATGTGTCCTCCCCCACCCCCAGTTCCCGACCCTATTACCACGGTGAGCCTGGGACCTTTGTCCTAAACAGTTACCCTTTGGGGCCCATTTTACTCAGCCCTGCACTATGACATAATGCAAAGAAGCATGTAGAAGACCCCTGAACCCAACACCCTTACAAGCGGTGGCTGCACCCCCCCCCCCCCCCCGTAACACGACTGCTGGCCTCACTGGAACATGAGATTTTCTCACTTAAATAGGCGACTCCTGCTTCCCAAGTGTAATCAAATCATGTGGTGCTTCGGGACCATATGCTCCAGTGTTCTGTTCTGGAAGCCTTCAGCTGTCCTGTGTGTAGAGTTCATTCTTTCTGAAATAAAGGAAACGACTTGTTTGATTATGACTTCTTTTTTTTTTAATAATTTTAATGAACATTTACAGCAAATTTGGATTTCCATTCATTCATTGCTGCACATCTCTACCCGCCCAGCCCTCTCCCCCAGCCCCCCAGTTCGCTCCTTGATTATGACTTTTTATTAAATTCTCCAAAAACCAGCATTTGGCTTCCTTGGTTCCCTCTCCCGCCCCCGCCCCCCACACCCCCCACACCTTTTTCTGTGTGTACAATGAACTAAGTTGAAAAGGGGATGAAATGAAACAGCACTGGGGCTTATCGTTGACTTCTGCCAGAATTCAGTCTCAAAGGGTGGTCATCACAGGTGGAACGGGAATTAGGTGGCACGCTGGCATTCCTACAGACCCCCTCTAACTCTGATAAGGAGCCCTGATGGTGTCGTTTGTAACAGAAAAGATTCTTAGCGGAGGTTGGCAGTTCAAATCCACCAGCTGCTCCTCAAGGACAAGATGGGCAATAACATCCCTTAAAGACTGCCCTCCCCAGAAGCACGATGGACAGTCCCCATGAGCCTGAACCTGCTTGATGGCAGCTTTATTTTCAACCATGTGATACTAGAAGCTCTGGTGGCCCTAGTGGCAAAAAGTGGCACTGCAAACCTGGAGGCACGCTGTTCGAATCCACCAGCTACTCTACGGGAGAAAGAAAGATGGGCAGTCTCCTCCCGTGTGATAAACTGCCTCTAAAAACTGGCCCTAGGATCAGCTATGGGTCGGTTCCAACTCGGTGGTACACAACAACGTGATAGGAGAAGCTTTTTACTGTTAGTAACAATTCTGTGTCCAACAGATCAGAAGTCAGCCTTGTCCTGTGCCCGCCTCACCATCTCTCTTGTGACCAAGCCCATAAC